CGCAAAAAGACGCTTGCTAGACTTATTCAATTCCTTACTAGAAAAAAACATTAAACCGCCTGAATGGAGACAGGTCAAAGTAATAGCCATTCGAAAACCTGGCAAACCAGCGTCTGACCACAGACAAACAGACGTAACTCTTCATTGTGTATCTTCGTTCATGCATTTAACGGTTGATTTGAATATTATCAGTTCCGCGAACTACTCGCCACAGCGCTGGCATCGGATCACTTTGACGTTTCTATATATTCTATAGAACTTTTATGCAATATTGTTTACGAGTTAGCGAGCAAGCTTGTTTTCCGCGAGAAGCCAGAGAGATGTCGTTACTGAGGTTATATGTTTTGAGATACTATGTTTTCAAGAAGCAGTTTTTCAAAGAGTTACGTCTGTTTGTCTGTGGTCTGACCATAACTCATACCGCCCGATTGCGATGCTTTTGTGCATTAGGAAATTGTTGGAGAAAATGATCCTTCGGAGACTCGATCACTGGGTCGAATCAAATAACTTGCTATCAAATACACAGTTTGGGTTCCGTAAGAGCATAGGAACAAACGATTGTCTAGCGCTGCTTTCCACAGACATACAACTGGCCTTTGCGCACAAGAAGCAATTGGCTTCAGTATTCTTGGACATTAAGGGGGCTTTTGATTCAGTTTCCATTGAAATTCTGTCAGACAATCTGCACAGATGTGGACTTTCTGGAATTTTAAATAATTACTTGTACAATTTGTTGTCAGAAAAGCAAATGAACTTTTCTCTTGGACAACTGACAACTTCCAGAATTAGCTATATGGGCCTGCCCCAAGGCTCATGTCTCAGCCCTCTTCTTTATAACTTTTATGTCAAAGATATCAACAACTGTTTGGCAGAAAAATGCAAGCTAAGACAACTTGCAGATGACGGTGTGGTTTCCGTAAGAGGTCCATATGCCATGGACTTGCAAGGACCATTGCAAAGTTTTTTTTAGATAACTTGTCTTCTTGGGCTAGGAATCTAGGGATCGAATTCTTGCCGCAGAAAACTGAACTGGTAGTGTTTACTCGAAAGCGGTACCCAGCCCAAATGCATCTTAATCTTTTGGGCAGAAACATTACTAAATCATTGTCTTTCAAGTACCTTGGGGTCAGGTTTGATTCAAAGTGCACTTGGAATACCCATATTACGTACACAGCAAAAAATAATTTTAATATCACATAAAAGTGGATGCACTTTAATCATAGAGGTAACTCTAAGACTAGAAGGTCCCGAAGAAACGTGCTCAACTTTTTGTCTCAGCTCTGGTACTCTCTTCGGTCCCAAGCTAATCGATTCACCCCTCGAAACATAGGAAAATCCACTAACCCCTTATTTTATCTGTCAAACTTTCATAGCGGATCAAAACAAACATTGTGTAGTACTAGAATTTTGACTAGAATGGGGTACGTTAATTGATTTGCTTGGGAACAATAGGCTAGTCAAGTAGTAAGCCAATTTAAAATCGATAGTTTCATATTGATTGTTGCTTCAATCGTGTCGAAAATATGGTGTAATATTACTTGCTAAAAAGGACAAAATTATCATTAATACAGTGCATGAACTGACATTACGCTGTTTTTAATGCATTTGTTTATTGTTGTGGCCATAAAAATTACGTAAGATTTTTGACATGATTGAAGTGCATCCTCTTGGTTGTAATATTAAAATTTATTTTTTGCTGTGCATTTGAAGCAAAAACGTCAACAAAGGATCAACTTTCTCCGTTTAATTTGCGACACATGTTGGGGTGCTCATCCGGGAGCTTTATATTGCCGGCGCCGGTGGTGTAGTGGTAAGCGTGACTGCTTTCTCACACCCCAATGGGTCTGGGTTCAATCCCAGCCGAGGTCGGTGGGATTTTTCTGAGGCATAAAAATCTCTGGTCACGGTATCCTTCGGAAGGGAAGTAAAGCCGTTGGTCCCGGCCCATGTGTGTTTGAATGGGTGCGATATCCTACGCAGGTGTGGAAGCTGCCTTCCTGCACATTCGATTGCCGTCAATGGATTGCAATCGATGTCCGTCGGTTTTGCGGAACAGAGACCGACGTTAAATAAAAGAATGAAGAAGAAGAAGAAGGGAGCTTTATAAAACAAAAAAATCTCTCTGTTCTAGAGTACGGCTCTTTCTGCTTTCTCTCGGCAAGAAAATGTCTCCTAATAAAATTGGAACGAATTCAATATCGTTGTCTGCGTATTGCTCTTCGCTGTATGCACTCAACGCATAACACGAGTCTCGAGGTTCTGGCAGGAGTAACACCCCTCCAGAACCGTTTCTGGGAGCTCTCCCTCAGAATACTAATCAAATGCGGAGTGACAAACACACTTATAATTGCAAATTTTGAAGAAATTTTTCAGCTGAGCACACATACTCGATTTATGAGAATTTACCACCACTACATATCCTCGGATATGTCTCTTCCTTGTTATACTCCAGACCGTGCTCACTTCACCAATCGCAGTTCTTCAATTGAATATGATCTGTCCATGAAACAAGTGATTCATGGGATTCCAGATCAACTTCGACATATTATTATCCCGCGTATTTTTACTGAAAAGTACCAACACGTCAATTGCGTGAAAAGATATTTTACAGACGGGCCACGTCTCAATGGATCCACTGGCTTCAGTGTCTTCAATGAAAACTCTAGCGCCTTCCGCAAACTCCAGGAACCTTGTTCCGTTTTTGTTGCTGAGCTGGCAGCAATCAACTTCGCATTGGGGATGTTTTCCAACATACCCGCAGACCATTACTTCATCTTCTCGGATAGTCTCAGTTCGATTGAGGCTATTCGGTCGATGAAACCAAGTAGGCACTCATCTTATTTCCTTTCAAAGGTAAGGGAGCAGATGAGTGTACTGGTCGAAAGATCATATATAATTACCTTTGTAGTGGTCCCTTCACATTGCTCAATCCCAGGCAATGAAATGGCGGACTCTCTCGCAAAGGTGGGGGGCGCGCAGGAAGGCGAATTTTATAACAGGCAAATTTCACACGATGAATTTTACCATTTAGTGTGTCAGAGTACCCTTTCGAGTTGGCAAACCGATTGAGACAATGGAAATCTTGGACGGTGGTTACATTCAATTATTCCTAATGTTTCTTCAAGAGCGTGGTTTAAAGGCTTGGGCTTAAGTCGTGACTTCATTCGCGTGATGAGTAGACTTATGTCCAACCACTACTCGCTAGATGCGCATCTCAATAGAATAAACCTCATGGACAGCAACATATGTCGGTGTGGAAACGGTTACGACGACATCCATCACGCAGTTTGGCAATGTACGGATAATGACGCCGCCAGAGAGCGACTTTTGAATACCCTCGAGGCCCAAGGAAGACAACCCAATATCCCTATCAGAGACGTGTTGGGTAGCCGCGATCTCTGCTATATGCAGTTGATTTATGTGTTTCTGCAAATGTCTAGTATAAGAATTTAATTCGATTGTCTTTTGTTTATTAGTTTTTCGTTGTCTTGTCCCCCATCTCGATGAGTCTCATCGTTGCCCACTGGTCACCATAGCCGATCGAACTCCAGACGAATCTAGAACCACACTACCGTTCATACTGGTGACATCGCTCTGATGAGACAACCAAACCCTACCCCAAGCTCCTCCCCCTTTTCCTATCCCTCGACAATATACCCCTCTAACCTCGAGTAAACCGCGAGTATTCAGCCCAACTCCTACTAGACATAGAATTAAGTGAATTTTGTTACAAACAAAGAACAATGAATTATCGACTCCGTAAAGCTAACGCGATTGAGCCTTACAAATAAACGAAAAAGATAAAAAAAAAACAATGGACAGTGGTCCAGAATACTGATTTAGGTGAAAGGATATGTTTTGAGCCTGAAATTGAAACTTTAGACTAAAAGTCTCTTCTACAAAGTTGTTCCTTATAGTTAGGCCCTCATTTTTATGACAATGAATTCTAAGGTAGTTCTTATTATCATTAAAATCAATTTCAAATATCTCATGAAAGTCATCTTCTAGCTCTTTAAGACGAATGTTTTATAGCAAAGTTTGTTGTCTGTATCTCTTCTAATAAAAAAGATATATCCAAATTTAGAAGAAAATATGAATAAATTGAATTGAAATTGATTTTATTCGAGCTTAAAAAATAAAATACCTCTATTTTTGTCACATTATTGAGAATAACATACGCCCTTTCAAATGCCATAAACACTATTTTTTTGCCCCAACCAGAGATATTAACAAAAGGGCATATTTTTAGTAGAAAAACGTCAATAACTCTTGATCGGCGAAAGATATTGACAAGCTTTGTGCAGCAAAAATTTGCGCCTTCTAAAGATCTAAAAATTATTATAAGACACCTTTGTTGATAAATTTTAAATAAGAAAACTAGAGCAAAACAACTGTTTTTTAGAGATTTCCTAACTCAATTCAAGAAAATAGCTCAAATCGGTCAATTTAAGATATACAAAAAAGTTCTTGAAATTAGCTCAGCTTTAACTTTGCCGAAGAATGTATACCTTCATTTCTTCAAACAAAAATGTTAGATTGTTGATTATAATGATAATAAGAACTACCCTAGAATTCATTGTCATAAAAATGAGGGCCTAACTATAAGGAACAACTTTGTAGAAAATACTTTTAGTATCAAATTTCCACCTAAATCTGCATTCTAGACCACTGTGCAATGGCTGTTCATTTTTCACACTGTAGTACTGAAACGGAACTATCAATCTATCCTCTTCAGAACTTTCTCTAGCTAATAAATTATCACACTAAGGCTACCTGTTGTTGTTAGTATAAGATCATTACGTAAGATATTTCTGAGACCCCCTCCCTCCCATGTAAGAAAATGAAAATAAATTGTTACACCCCCTCCCCCCATAAGTGCTTACATAATTATTTAATGGCCCCGATTCTGCAATCCATCATCATCAACGGCAGTTCTTATCTTGACCAGATTTGGTTATTGAAGCAATCGCCAGCTTTTTCACCACTCGAAAATTATCTCCCAGTGAAGGTGGTCGGTTTATTTTTATTTTTTGAAAATGAACGTAGCAAATCCAATAGTTGCAACCAGGTATGGTCCCATTAGAGGAATCCAGAAAACGGCAGCCACCGGCGTGGACTACTTCAGTTTTCAACGGATCCCGTATGCCAAACCTCCGGTTGGGGCGTTGAGATTCAAGGATGCTGTGCCGCCAACTCCGTGGACTGAACCGCTGGACTGTACCGTTCAAGGACCAGCCGGGTACCAGTTCAGTAAGTTGCAGAATAAAATCATCGGCAGTGAGGATTGCTTGCATATGAATGTTTTTACCAAAGACGTGAGTTTACCTCGATAAGTGTAGGGTTGTATTGTTCCATTATCATTTTGGAAATGTTTGTCATTGCAGCTAGATAAGGGTAAATGTCTACCGGTGATGTTGTATATCCATGGAGGAGCGTTTAATCGGGGCTCAAGCGGGGTTGAGATGTACGGTCCCGATTACCTGATTCAGGCGGATGTTGTTTTCGTTTCGTTCAACTATAGGATCGGTGCTTTGGGTATGCATTTTAGATTTACTATTTAATAGATATGACAGATCTGAATGTGTATTATTCGCTAGGATTCATCTCGTTCGATTCGCCGGAGGTAGATCTTCCCGGCAATGCTGGATTGAAGGATCAGAATTTGGCAATAAGATGGGTTGTCGAAAACATTGCAAACTTTGGGGGTGACCCGAAGAACATAACCTTGTTTGGTGAAAGCGCTGGCGGTTGTTCAGTTCATTATCACATGATTTCGGAGCTGTCCAAGGGTCTGTTCCAGCGGGCAATCGTTATGTCCGGTTGTGTATTGAACAATTGGTCAACGGTTCCGAGAAGGAAATTCACCGAAAGACTTGCCAAAGCGCTCGGATGGAATGGTCAGGGCGGTCAACAAGCCGCATTGGAAGTATTGATGAAAGCAACTCCGGAAGACATCGTAGCGAAGCAGAATGCTCTACTTACGGAGAATGTTCGTAACTATTGGAAGCTTGTTTTTGTTTTACGATTTATTGAAAATCTAATTTTCAGGAGCTAGAAAATCGTATCATGTTCGAATTTGGACCCGTTATCGAGCCATATATCAAAAAGAATTGTATTATCCCAAAGGAACCGTTGAAGATGTGCCAAGAAGCGTGGAGTAATGGCATGGATATAATCATCGGAGGTAACTCCGAGGAGGGTTTGTTCAGCTTGAGTGAAATTAAGGAGAATCCGTCTATTATGAGCAATCTGAAAGACTTTGAATATTTGGTTCCACTCGAACTGGACCTGGTGAGAACTTCACAGAGATGCAAGGAACTCGGCAGGCGACTTAAGCAGCACTACTACGGAAATTCGGAACCATCTTTTGAAAATAAGGAAGGATACTTATCCGTAAGCAACTCTAATTTAAACATCCTGGATCCTCCGCTCTAGAATTTTTCCTTTTCTTAAAGCTAATGACCGATAAGCTTTTCTGGCATGGACTACACCGAACGATCTTCAACCGAATCAACACCACGAAGGCAGCCAAAACATACGTCTACCGATTTTCGGTTGATTCCGATACCTACAATCACTACAGGATCTACTTTTGCGACAAAAACGTCCGTGGAACGGCGCATGCCGACGATCTGTCTTATGTTTTCAAGAATGCATTCAGCGTTGCTCCACCGAAGGATTCGTTTGAGCATCGCGTTATGATGGATATGGTAGGTCATTGAGTTTTTAGACCTTTTAGCAGATATATCATACGTAGACATTTTTAGGTCGGTTTGTTTTCGAAATTCGCTTCAAACAACGGAAATCCCAACGGAGGAGTTACTGACAGTTGGGAACCGATTGGCAGCGAGATTGGCCCGTACAAATGTCTGAACATTAACAATGCGGGTCTGGAGTTTATCGATTTCCCGGAACAAAAACGCATGGAACTATGGGATTCAATGTATAGCAAGGAACAACTTTATTAACTCGTGTAATTATCATGAAATTATAGATATACCTATGATATGTGCAATAAACCTTAGTTCAGCTTGAAATGCTCTGATTTGCTGCCAGCTGCCAGACAAATCTGTTCTGGTGTTGATGGAGTCACTGGAATAGACAAAAAATCGTTAAATTGTACATAGATTTACGCGCATCTTCGAATCATACCAATGGTATACCAGTCGTTGCCCAATCCAGCGTCCTTTCGAGCAGAGTTCAACGCTCGTCTCAACGCAAACAGTAGAGCCACTGTCATATTCAGTGCAGGCTCTCCGGTGGTTTTCGATCGTAGAACATAGCTCTCGTTAAAGGTATTGTGAATTAGCTTCACGCGGAAGTCTACCGGTATATCCTTCGCTCCAGGCAGATGGTAGTTCCAAGTCCTATTGGTAAGCAGCTGACCGTTTTCTCCACTGTAGACCAAATTCTCAGTAAAGTACAATCCGATTCCCATAACGAAGGAACCTTCAATTTGTCCTATGTCGATCCCTGGACTGATACTCTCACCAGTATCCTCCAGGACATCAACCCTCCGGATCTGTACGTTACCAGTCAAAACGTCTACTTCTATCTCAGCGCAGGACAATCCCCAAACCAAGTAGTTCTTAATGTCACCTTCCTTGTACTGATACATCGCACAAAGGTCAACCTTTTCGTTGTAGCACCGGTGAGTTAACTGCTGCCAGGAGTCGTTCGGGAACTGATCCCGAAGTGTTTTCATTCGCTCTACCAGCATATCACAAGCCTTCTTGACGGCAAAGCAAGCCGCATCACTTGTCATACTTCCGCCCGATACCGTCGCATTCGGAGAGGTCAGATTGCTCATTCCCTTGATACTGACCTTCTCCAGCGGAATTCCAAGCACGTACGAAGCTACCTGTGCTGCCTTAGTGTTCACGCCTTGTCCCATTTCGATACCTCCAGTCGTAATGGATACCGTTCCATCCATATGGTAGATCGATACCAATGCATGCATCTGTCCGAAGAACGCTTGAGGGTACTGCATAGGAACAATTGCAATACCTCGCTTCTTCCAGCGGTTTGCTTCGTTGAACTCGTTAATTTCCCGTCTTCTCTCCGCATATTCCACATCCTTCACAAATTCCGGCATCAACTGTCTAATCTTACAATCTTCGCTCATATTCTCCAGTCTTACTACCAGTGGATCCTTCCCCAAAGCATGCGCAATGTGTTCCATTATATTCTCGGCCATCGTTATACCTTCGTTAGTTCCCGGACCTCGACACCACGTGTTACTGGCCGAATTGGTCAAGGCAGCCTTACCGACCAACTTCCATCGGCTTGCATCGTAACAATTCCGATAGAACATCGACGTTACCATTTCGACTGGTTCATTCAAGCTGCAGCCGTAGTCCTCTACGTAGTTATTGATCAACTTCATGATCTTTCCATTACCATCTACCTCCACATGGTAATTGCTAATGCAGGAGGCTCGTTTCCCGATGGCATCCATATTTGACTCTAATGACATCACCAACCGCACAGATCGTTGGCTAAAGTGAGCCGCAATCGCACAAGCACAAGCCACCAGTGATGATCGGGATTGCTTGCCTCCGAATGCCCCACCCAAACGGCGGACGTAGAAGTTCAGGCTATTTTCCGGAATATTTAACGCTTGCGAAATGGCAACCTGGCAGAAATCAACCCACTGCGTTGAACTGTACACGTCCATACCGTCTTCCGTTGGAACGCAGATGCAGGTTTGCGGTTCCAAGTGGAAGTGGAACTGTCCGGGAAGCTCAAATCGGCCTTCGATTTTCTTCAGTTGAACGTCGCCAGTGGCCTCACCGTAATGTTCACCTTCCTTATCGAAAGGTTGATCGCGAAGGCGATCATCGGCTTTTGCCGATAGAACGTGTTTCAGCGTGGGGAGAATGGGTTTTCCATCGGGTTCACTGTAGGTTATCTGTACCAATTTGGATGCCTGATGGGCGAGGTCGAAGGTATCCGCCAGAATGAGGCCTATCGGTTGACCATGGTAAAAAACTTCACCACTGCAGAAGATTTCTTCGGTTTCCGGATTGCCAAGTTCGGTTGGCGAAAAATCATTCCGACCAGGAATGTCTTTGGCAGAGTAGAAGGCGTGCACTCCTGGCAGATTCAAGGCCGGTGAGGGGTCAATGTTCAAAATTTTCGTTCTCGGGTGGGTGGCGTTCACAAAAGCGGCGTACAGTTCGTTCGGAATCGTTGGCAGATCTTCGACAAACTTTGCTTGTCCGGATGTTTGCCAGAGACCATCGATTTTTGGAATGTTCTTGGTCATGGGCCAGTTTTCGCGGATAGTTTGGAATTGTTGTTTGCTAGTGGACAGCGGACGATGGAAGCTGGATGCTCCGGATTGATACTGGGGTTTGTGGGGAAGTTGGTGATTGCCGGCGATGTTGAGGACCGCTCGGTAGAACAAAGAGATGGAAAGGTGTTTGCGGTACTCAGGAGATGCGTGCGGTAGTTCACCTTCAGGGTCAATCTCCGAACTCAACACGTTGAGGGCGCCTTGGAACACTTCGTCGGAGAAGATGTTCTTTCCGGCCAGGAAGGCCTCCGTTTTGGTTGCATGAGTAAACTGGAATAGAAGATCAATTAAGCTTTGCTGACGTTAACGATCTACCGCGTACCTTAGGGTTGATTCCTCCATAACAAATAGATGCTGTTTCTAGTACTGTTTTATCCTGGTTGAATGCAAACAAGAATGCAGCATTGACATACGCATGCACGTTTTGAGCGCGGGGCATTATCTTGAATGATCTGACTTCGTAAATGTTGGGATCCAATGGGGGAAGAATTACATTTTGGAGAATTTTCTTTGACATATCCATCATGCAAAAGTCACGTGGTGAAATTGTATGTACTTTTCCACCAGCTTCAGCTGAAAATGTATGTTGACGTCGTATAGTAGTGTAATACATCATATCGACAAATGCACAAACCTATTGTTAACCTAGCTCCTATCGCTTCGAAGATAAGGTACAAATCGGATGGAAACTCGTTGTATTGGTTCTTGATACTCAAATTACCAGCAATTGTTCCGGAGTTTCTTACAGGGATGTTCGCTACCAGATCAATATGTTTTACAAGTTCTTTGCAATAGTGGAATTCAGGTTTGTTCTCCGAAGCATTCTGCAGTATTGCCATCAGCTCGCTTAGGGTCACGCTCGCTCCAATGGTTAGGTTACTGCCTAACGAGTGGAACTTGAGTTCTTCAATCGAGCTGATGTCAATGAACACTTCTAAATTCTCCTTTCTACGATAGACACCTGAAATGGAAATTAGTTCATCAACGCATATTCGATTCATAGTGTATTGCCCTACCATGTGCGGTATTGCCTGCGACGAGCATGTATGGTCTGGAACCAATTTTCTCCAATACAGCAAATACATCCACAACGTTGTACACCTTGTGCCACTCTCGCTTATCTTCAAAGATAAGATGTATTCCTCTTTTTGGCACTGCACCACACTTCCCCTGGCACGGTTTACCCGTATTACTGCAAATTTTCGGCAGTTCTTCGATATCTTGACATGTCTCTTTCAGCTGTGGATCTGCATCTACAGCCAGTGATTTGAACGCATCAAGGATCGGTCGATAGCCGGTGCAGCGACACAGATTACCCCCGAAGGCATTCTCAACTTCTTCCATGGTGACATTTCCCTGCTTGGACTCCAGCAGACTGTACATGTTCATGACCATACCAGGAGAGCAGAACCCACACTGGGTTCCGTTAAAGTGCGCTAGCCTGCGCTGAACGTCGTGGAATCCTTTGGATTTGTTGCCAATCCCTTCGACCGTTAGAATATCCAAACCATGACACGAGTACACGGGAAATAGGCACTGAAATTGACATGTTTCAATTCAAAGTTTGAACTACTTGCTCAAACATTTCAATTACCGAATTCACAGCCCAGCTCTGTCGGACCTTGGTGACCGGATGTTCACCATTCACGTTAACGATGCACGATCCGCAACCGCCTTCGCGGCAGACCATCTTCGTTCCAGTTAGTTGAGCGTTTTTTCGGATAAAAGTACCCAACGATGTATCCACCGGGATGGAATGGGGATTCGCTGCCATGAGAGAATATTTCTAAAACATTTGAAAACCAAAGCACCTATTTCCGCAGTTAACATACCTTTGTAGAGCGTTCCATTGATGGTAAACACCACTTCCATTGTTATTACGTTAAATTCAAATATTTATAGTACACTTGAAATTTTTCTCTTATTTTCATTCAACGCTGCTTCAACCATGTCCATTCACTACGACCGATCGTGAGTGATTGACGTCCAGAATGCCGAATCGAGTACGGCTATTTATAAAACGGACGATCCACCGCGCACTCGCGTCGCTGAAACGTGTGCTTATCAATTCGAACCGGCTTCGCGGAGTTTTGCGTGAGTGTTAGATTCTCGTGTTTTGGGTTGTAAATATTTTTGCAAAGATTAGTTTCAGCTATCAGCACGAATGTATTGGTGCTATGACCAGCGGACGAATTCCACGCATTCGAAAACAGAGTCATCGACGATGTATTTTTCGAACATACTTGATTGCAATAGCTTCAGCAGGTGGATGGGTATCAGATGCGATTGAGGTACGATTTGATTGCTTTTTATTGGATGTATTAGAAAAAATGGGTAGTAACTCTTGTGAACATAGAAGAACAATGCTATGTTTTCAGGAAGATAGAAGAGTACAATGATGATAGAGGATATCGTGGAAAGAAAATTGAATCAATCTCTTATTACTAAATTTTCATTCTTTCTCTTCATAGGCATTGTACTTTAAAATTGACAGCGTTCACTAGGATTCGCTTTGATTTCAATTAACCCTTTACTGCCCGATTTATGATTTTCTTCTTTCCGTTGAATTTGCCCACTTCAACATACTTCCATGCAATTATGAAATATTGATATACATTATTTTGCTCAAACCTAATTTTACTTGTGTAGTAATTGAAACTTTAACTCTAAACATTTTCATGCACTAAAGCCTAAATTTGTTTGCCATATTTCTCGATAAATCCAATCTTTTCGTACAATTTCAAATTACCAGCCTTGAGTAAATACTTTTAAAAAATCGGCAAATGTGAAATGCTTCATATTAAACTTGACAGAAGTTAGATTCTTAATGGTTCAACCATTCGAGGATAAGCTGCGCTCACAGTTTGCGTTGTATTCCAGTACCCGGAAAAAGTACTGAACAATCACTCAAATCTCTGAGTTGCCACCAATATTCAGGCCCTCAAATCGTGATTTAGATCATATTTACGGAGATAAACGAGAACAATGATTTCGAACACCTAAATACCCCTCAAATCGCGAGGCAGTGTTTACGGAGATTACGGTGTCTCTGGTGGAATAACATTGTTATAAAAAAAAGTAGAAGGGTCTGTGCCTAGGGGCACGAACGGAAGCTTGACGTAGGACCGCTAGTGGACGGAATAAATGTGAAGAGCATTAAGTTCTTTTAATTGATAAAATATCTATTATCTCAACTCTTTCCGTTTTTGAATTGTAGGCGTACCAAATTTGTAGTAATCTTTTTCAAAAAGAAAGTTGAATCAATCAAAATCACTTGCACCCCTGCTTCCAAGTTTGTGTGGTCGTTGGGGGCTTGTGGTTCTGAATACGGACAAACAAGCACAGATAAATTCTATTTCAACTCTTTACTGATGTAAGCTTGATGGCCCTGAAAAGGGCCGTTTTATTGAAGAGGACATCCATGGCCACTTACGTTTGGCGTGTTTAGTGTAGGTGACAGCATCACGGACCTCATTTTCCACGAACACCTTCAGCACACCTCGACCCTCGTAGATCAGACCGGAGATACGCCAGACTCTGCCACGGCGAGCCAGACGACGGATGGTGGTTATCTCGAAGAATTTGCGATGACGATTGGCAACTCCTTTGCCACGACCAGTCAATTGTTGATTGTTGGTTATAGAAAAGTAGACTGTAGCCACCTTCCTACTGCTGCTATTGCTGACCACGCCGTCCGAAGCGAAAATGAGCTGATACCAGACAGCAGCGCTGCTTTATATCTTTTTAGGTTAAAGCAGAATGATGTGCAACCAAGTGGTATAAAAGCTACAAAGACTCCTCCCATTATGAGTAGTTTGGTATCAAGTAGCGACACTTGTTATTTTCTTTTTGCGTACATGGCGAATGAGAACGACCCAAATTTGAGTTTAGTTCACTCATAATCGCCAAAAGTGTAGGAACTCAGCGATGAGTAAATTTGTCTCATGATTTCCTGTGGAACATCTTAAAAATCTGCCAGAAAATGAGGAAATTGACGAAAATTTTATTCAGTCTCGGAGTAGTACCAATAGACTGAGTGAATCCAATCTTTACTTTTCTCAAATTCGGGAATTTTTCCCTGGAAAATCCTGGAATAACCTGGGAAAACATGAGGCAAATTGTTCCTGCACTTTATTTCTTATTTCTGAGATAACTAAACTCAAATTTGGGTCGTTCTCATTCGCCGTGATAGATATCGGCGCCGGTGGTTAGCGTGATTACCTCTAACCCCAGCAGGCCTGGGTCCAATCTCAGTCGGTGCCACCGGCATGTTCTAAGGCATAACATCTCTGGGAGCTGCCTCCCTGGCGTCGATAGCATTGGAGCTCAGTACGGAAAACAAATCTCAAATTGCAATAGGTCCTATCTACATTGATCGATTCTCTTCATCGACACTCTCATTCGTAAATAACTTGGCTTCACAAATCTGGATCAACAATAGAAAAGAGCCCATCAGCATTTGTAAACAAACCGTTCCAAAGCCCTTTACTCACAAAGCGAAGGCCACCCACACAAACCAACACCATCATCGGATAGGGGAAACTTCTACCTACAAGATGTTGGTGTTGGTTTGTGTGAGCGGCCTTCGATTTGTGAGGCTTTGGAACGGTTTGTTTACAAATGCTGATGGGCCCTATTCTATTGTTGATCCAGAAATGTTTCCTGCCGTCTTCGTCGAATTAGATGCTAGATTGTTGCTTCTTCCATCGAAAATATTCGGCCGTGGCGATTCAAAGTTGATCAAGGTTGATCAAAATAATTTGTACCCCTGCTTCCAGTTTGATTACATGAGCATTTTGTGTGGTCGTTGGTTCTGAATATGGACAAACAGGCAGATGAATTCTATTCCTACTCTTTACTGTAATAAGCTTGGTGGCCCTGAAAAGAGCCGTTTTGTTTCCAATGTTGGTGATGATTTAACCTCCAAAACCAAACAGAGTGCGTCTCTGTCACTTGAAAACGTAGATGACATCCATGGCCGCTTACGCTTGGCGTGTTTAGCGTAGGTGGCAGCATCACGGATCTCATTTTTCAGGAACACCTTTAGCACAGCTCGTAAATCAAACCGAAGATACGTCAGACACTGCCACGGCGAGTCAGACAACGGATGGTGGTTATCTTGAAGAATTTGCGTTTGGTTCTGAATATGGCGATGAGTGTGCAAAATATTACGCAATTCCATCCTCCCTATTCGCACGTGCCCGAGGATCGGAGGCAAATGCCACTTCGACTTGTTTCGTCTACTTACTACTCTCTGACGACTGTGCTGGGGAAGCTCAGCATATGCATGTAAGTTATTGGTGGATTTGTTAGTTAGTTCGACGCTTTTGGACAATGCTGGACATTTACCAGTTTTTCAATAGTTTCTTGTTGAAAATCAACATTCAGAAACATTGTTATCAATGCGTAGTCATATTTCTGATCGATTGGTGATAAAACTATTGAAATTGGACCAGGGGCAGCTGAGTTATTAACGTTCAAAATCTTTCTTAATTTGTTACATGTTCCATTTTCGGTTTTCACAAAGTGTACCCCCATATAGAAATCAAAGACGTAGTCCTACGTCAAAATCAGTATCGCTGAAACACCCACCAAACGAAATCTTAGGTGCCTCTCTTTTGTTTCAGGCTTCATTCGCTTTGCTCTTCGGCATCTACCATGGAATGATCCTGTTCATCTCTCCGATTATCCGGAACAATGTCGACTATTTAATTGATTTGGAACTACTCTCGACAAGACGGCTGAAATTGCAACGGCTGGTTGTATTTGACATCCTCAAGCATAACGTGGATTGCTCGGACCTTCCCCTGCAAATACCTCTGAACGTTCCTCAGCGTCAGTTGCGTCACTTTACACTCATTGCTGTTCCAGGACATAGAATGTGTTATGGCTATAACAATCCGCTCAGTTCATGTCTCAGAGCCGTCATTAACGTCTGTCATTTTTTCGATTTTAATGTGTTCAACGCAGCATAAGTTTAACCAGTCTGTACAATAGTATCGAAGACGATGAACAAATAAACAAATATGCAAATACACAAGAACAGAGAACAAGAACCGAGTGGTGCTAGACACTGAAGTATAGCTTCGCGTCCTTCAGAAAACCCAATTCCGCTGCCTGGGTCGGCTCATCCCCTAGCACATCCCGTATGCTGGCTGGTAGTCCGTAGAGGTAACGAAGGAGCTCGTATTTCGGGCACAGCACAGCTCCGTCGATGGGATTCTGCAGACGGTGCGACACTGAAGTCCCGCGAGATCAGGGAGTGCCCCGCCCTGAGTCTCGAAAAGATTCTTGGATCGCGCAGCTTCTTGAGGTCCTTCACTTTTTCGGTGCTTTCTTTGACCTTGCATGATCGAGCATTACGTTACTATTATTGCATTTCTTTTAACTCTGTTGGCCGTCACCTAGCCGTCACCTACACTGAACACGCCAAGCACAAAACCGTCACGGCCATGGATGTCGTCTTTACTCTGAAGCGACAGGGACGCACTCTGTACGGTTTCGGAGGTTAAAACTCATCACCAACGTAACAAAACGGCCCTTTTCAGGGCCACCAAGTTCATTTCAGAAAAGAGTTAGAATAGAATTTATATAGAGTAATCCATTCAATTTGTCACTAAATGCATAAAAATGATACAAAAATCAAATAATTTGTTAGGGAAATAAATTATGTTATATTTGAAGGCTTATGGGTGGGTTAAATTTATTCCGTTTTACTTTCATAAACTGATAAACCCTCATGGTATGCATTCTCCTGCTGCGCGAGATCTTCGAAATCGTCCGAACCGTTAAATAATACAGAGTACAGAGAGTATAGACTTAAAGTGCAGAGAGTACAAAAGGAGAGGAGCCAGTGTCGCTACTTGATAGCAAACTACTCATGATGGTTTTTTTTCTTTATTAGAGAGATTTTTAGCCATAGGCTAGTTCATCTCTTATAGTACTCAT